CCCCCCCCGCCGCCGCTGCCCGCCGCCCTCCGTCCCGGGCGGCCGGGGGTGGGGGAGCCAGCCCCAGGTGCAGGGCACAGGGCGTGGCAGCTGCTCCCTCCTTGGAATCCTGAAACTGTAACAAGTATGAGCAGAAGCCGCCCCGCCCCATACGTGGTGGGGCGTAGGGCAGGGCTGGCGTGCTCGGGGCTGGCGTGCGCCACTTGGTGCAGGTGGTGTGGTGGAGCTGGAGGCTCTCTGCCCCCCCCCCCCCGGCCCTTTTGCCGGCAGCGGCCCACGGCATAGCCATGAGTGGGCATCCGGCATAGCCATGAGTGGGCATCCGCGGGTCCGGCGGAGGGCCGGGCACCAGGGGCCGGCGGGGGTTTCGGGATCCTTGCAGGCAGCCGAGGAGCGGGTCTTGATGCTGTGCGAGGAGGCCCCTGGGGCGGGGGCGGCCTCGCTGCCTGGGTCCCACAGGACAGATGGATGGACGCCGGCGGCGGAAGGCAGGAACATCAGCGGCTCCTTGTACTCGGTTCACTCCACGCTGCGTCTCCGCGAAGTGTAGGCGTCTCTCCCCCCTGGGGGATTTCTGTTTCTGAGGCTTGCCGTTCCCGTGTCTTTCTCACCCGGCTGTGGGGAGGCAGGGGGGGTGGGCAGGGGGAGGCGGAGCATTGTGTGTGGGTTGCCTAAAGAGGAGGGGGCCCTGTGACCTTTCTGCAATGTGTTTTCTTTGTCGTTCTGGCCCGTGGGCGCTAGTGAGCATTCCTGGGTCCGCTCTCCTGGGTCTTCCAAGAGGAAGGCTGTGTGTCTGCCCCCCCCACACTTTGGGGGGGGGCTGGCTGGCTGGGCGGAAAGGAGCCGTTGGAGTGGTGTGTGTGGGGGGGTGTGCCTGGCCTTGGTCGTCCGTGCCTCGCCCTGCTTGTGGGAGTCGCCTGAGCGCTTTACGGCATCCTCTTTTTTGTGGCTGGGATTGGATGATGGGGGTGTGAGGGCGGGGTCCTCCGTGGGACTGAGGCCCTGCGGGCTCGTGTGGGCACTGCCCTCTAGGAGCACGCCCCGGGACAAGCTCCAGGGTGGGTCAGCAGGCGTGTGCCGCCCCTCACCTCCCTGCCCTGGCTGAATTCCGGGCAGGATTGAGACCTGCCGGGGCTCAGGCTGGAGCCTCACCTTGCCTGCTTGGCTGTGGGGGTAACCCAGCCCCCTCCGAAGGCTCCTGGCCCCACAGGTATGGGGGCTGCTTCAGCCCCGGGAGCAAGCCCCTTGCCCCCCCCCCCACACCCACCCACTGCAGTCAGGAGCCCAGGCCAGAGAACTCTGCACCCCCAGCCTAGAAAGAGCCACCCGGCATTGCAGAGCGTTCGGCTGGACACGGGGAGGTTCACCCAGGAGGGGGGGTGGGCCCCGGGGGGGGGGGGGGTGTGGCAGGAAGAGCCTTGCTCCACGGTTGAAGTTGTTGCTGCATCTTTTTGCTGCTTTGATTAGCAACGCTTTGCCGTTGGGAAATGCTTCAGGAAGCATCCAGACCTCCCAGCACCACCGCAGCATTTCCAAATGCATCCTCTGGATTCTTTGAACCGAGTGCCCCCTGGTGTGCCGCCATGTTTGGTGTCGTGGTTAAGAGCGCGGGCTCTAGTCTGGGAGAACCGGGTTTGATTCCCCACTCCTCCTCCCCATGCAGCTCCTGGGGGGGTGACCTTGGGTCAGTCACAAGTTCTCTCTCAGAGCTGTTCTCTCAAGAGAAGGTTCTGTCAAGGGCTCTCTCAGCCCCGCCTCCCTCACAGGAGGGTGCCTGTCTGTTGTGGGGAGGGGGAGGGAAAGGAGTCTGTCAGCCGCCCTGAGACTCTCCTTTGGGTAGTGAAGGGCCAGGGGGGGATAAATCCAATCTCTTCTCAATTGCTTCTTCTTATTTATTTATTTATTTATTTTCACACTTATATCTCGCCCTCCCCGGTGGGCTCAGGGCGGCTAACAGAGGCCAGATCATTAGTCTAGCCATAAGTAAAAACATATAAAAATATCTCTCGGGCCTCACTTCTCTCCTCCCCATCTTGTCTGACTGTGTGTGTGTGCGGGGGGGGGGGGGGGTAACCCCCCCCCTCTCCCCAAGTCCCGGTTCCTTCCTTCCTTGAACGTGCCCGGGTGGTTCCCTCCTCTTGTGATTCTCTTGTGCCCGTGCCCCGTACGCCCCACATAAACGTCCTCGTGGCGCAGCTTAGAGGGGAAGTGCACCAACCCCGAGAAGATACTTTGGAAACTTTACCTGGGGCTGTGGAATCGTGTGTGTGAGAGATTGTGTACTGGGGGGAAGCAGGAGTCTGCAACCTGCTTCCAACGATGCGCATGGGAGAGGCTTGTACGTGCCCTCTCATCAGGTGGCTCTGCTTTTGCTGCCCTCCCCCCCCCCCACAGCTTTCACTGGGCATCACCCGCCACCCTCCTTCGAGTCCAGCGGAGGTGCGGAGTTTCTGTCTTGCAGTCGCCCAAGGGGGATGGGGTGTGTGTGCACGGCAGACCCACGAGTGGGGAGGGGTGGAAGCTGTGCCTGTCCTTTCTCACGGCTTCTCTCTTTCCCACCCCAGGCCCATGTTGATCGATATGAACAAGGTCTATCGGCAGACCAACGTGGAGAACCTGGAGCAGGCCTTCTCGGTGGCCGAGCATGAGTTGGGGGTGACCCGGCTGCTGGACCCGGAAGGTACCCCCTCCCCCCCCCTTGGGCGGCTGGTCTTTCTCCTCCTGGGCCTGGCGTGGCAGCGCCCGAGAGCGCGCTGGGGGCCCCCCCGCTAACCTCCCCCGTCCCCTGCAGATGTGGACGTGCCCCAGCCGGACGAGAAGTCCCTCATCACCTACGTCTCCTCGCTCTACGACGCCATGCCCCGCGTGCCGGACGTGCAGGACGGCGTGAAGGCCAATGTGAGTGGGGGGGGGACGCCAGGAGGGGGCTGGGCGGGGTGGGGGTTTGTGCCTGGCCGGGTGCTGAGTGTGGCGCCCTTCTTTTCCCTCGCCCAGGAGCTGCAGCTGCGCTGGCAGGAGTACTCGGAGGTGGTGACCCTCCTGCTGCAGTGGATCCGGCACCACACGGTGGTCTTTGAGGAGCGGAAGTTCCCGGCCAGCTATGAGGAGATTGAGGTGAGGGCCGCACACACCTCTCTTGCCCCCCCCCCCGGGCATACCCCATGAGGGACGCCAGTGGCCTTCTGTGGGGCTGGCCCTTGGGAAACCCTTCTTCTTCCTCCTCCTCCCCAGCGTCTGCCTGCGCCTGCCCCCCCCCCCTCGGGTGTCTTTGTCTTCGTGTCCTTCCGTGGGTCAGGGGGCTGAGCTGGGCTGGGGGATGTGCAGCAGGTTGGTGGCCCGGGAGGGGAGGGCAGGGCCATTTCACTGCAGGCCCGAGTGGAGCCGTCGCCCTTCCTTTTCTGGGCCGCTGGGCCCCTGCCAGCCAGCGTGCTCCATCCCGGGCACTCCCTTGCCGGCTGCTGGCATTCGATGAAAGGGCCCCTCCCCTCCCGCGTCGTTCCAGGGCCCAGATCCTCTCCTTGTTGTTGCCAGAGCGGAGAGCGGGCGTGTTCGGGCGGGATGCCTGGGACAGGCTCACAGGAAAGGCCCCGGGCGGGAACAATCGTGTTTTGTCCGGGCTCTGCTTGACCGCTGTTCCGGATGCCTGCTCGGGGCCCTGGCCCTCTCCGCCTCAGCTGGGGGAGGAGGGGGGCACAGGACTTCCCACAGAGGAAAGGGGGGGGGAGATTGGATTTATTCCCTGCCCTTCACTTGGAGTCTCAGACCAGCCTACAAACTCCTTTCCCTTCCCCTCCCCACAACAGATACCTTGTAGGATGGGTGGGGCTGAGAGAGCTCTTGACAGAAACGGCTCTTTTTCAAGGACCGCTCTTGTCAGAACTATGGCTTGCCCAAGATCATCCAGCAGCTGCATGTGGAGGAGTGAGGAATCAAACCCGGTTCTCCCAGATCAGAGTCCGCGCACTTAACCACTACACCAAACTAGGGGGGTGGGGGAGCCAGCAAGGCTGCCTGTTCGGGGGTGTCCCCTAACCCCCCACCAGTGGTGTCTCTGGGAGGGCTGCGTGTGTGTGTGTGGGGTGTGTGTCTCCCAGTCCTTCCCCCCCTCCCAGCCCCCCCCCCGGCCTGGCCTGGCCTGACCTGACCTGACCTGACCTGACCTAGTCCTGCTGCCCCGCAGATCCTGTGGCGCCAGTTCTTGAAATTCAAGGAGACGGAGCTGCCCGCCAAGGAGTCCGACAAGAACCGCTCCAAGGCCATCTATCAGTCCCTGGAGGTGAGAGAGCGGCAGGGAGGAGGCCGTGGCTTTAAATCCAGTTGGGACGCTCTGTGGGGGGGGTGAGGTGGGGGGGTTCTCCTGCCCCCTTCCCCCCGGTCATGAGTGAGGGTTGGGGCCAGTGGGCTTGACGGTGTGATCGGGGGCCTCTCTTTGGGCCGAGAGGTGTCCAGGGATGGGTTGCCGCTGCCTTCCTGCGTGCAGAGCAGCCCCCCGGTCTTTCTTGGGGGGGGGGGCCTCTCCCTCCCGAGCGCTGATGGTGCCTCCTCTCCCTCCCTCCCCCCTCCCCGGCTGGAGCAGCCTGCCGTGCAGTCCGGACAGGTGAAGGTGCCCCCCGGCTACCACCCGCTGGACGTGGAGAAGGAGTGGGGCAAGCTGCACGTGGCGATCCTGGAGCGGGAGAAGCTTCTGCGCTCTGAGTTCGAAAGGTACCGAACTGACCGGGAGTCGGGCGGGGGCTGGCCGAGTGGGGCTGGCCTGGTCCGGGGGGGGGGGAGAGCCGGAGGCCCGTTTGCTTCGTTTGTCCTCCCATCATCCGTACCACGTCGGTCTCCTCCGCTTTATCCTCCCAACGGCCCTGTGGGGCTGAGAGCGCGTGACACAGGCCCCCACCGTTTCTGAGCAGGCTCCTGAGCAGGCTCCCGTTCCCCCCCGCTCACAGTCTGGCCCTCTTACCTGCCATGTCGCACTGCCTGTAAGCGGGCTGGTTTCCTGGCTGCTGAGTCCTGGGAGAGCCAGAAGGCGGCCTGTGGGGAGGCCTCCGTGGCTGCCCCCCCCCTGGGCTGTCTGGGGGGGGGGGGGGGGGCGGGGGCCCCCGACGCCTCCCTCCCTCCCAGCCCAGCCCAGCCCAGCCCTAATGGGAAACACACGGCGGGTGAGTCACCACCACTCTCTGGCCGGGCACTCCCCAGGAAACGGCGGTGCGGCTTGAGCCACAGAGCCAGGCCGAGGCTGCCCTGGAGCAGCTGCTGAGCTGGGGCTCTGCTCCTAGCGGTGCCGGGATCCAGCAGAGGGTGGTTCCCTGGCCAGAGGGTGGTTCCCGGGGAGGGGAGGCGAGGCAAGGGCCAGGCCAGGCATGGGGGGAGAGCCCTGAAGGATCCGTCCCGCTTGTCCCCTCCGCAGGCTGGAAAGGCTGCAGCGCATCGTCAGCAAGCTCCAGATGGAGTCCGGCCTCTGCGAGGAGCAGCTCAACCAGGCCGACACCCTCCTGCAGTCGGTGAGACGCAGCCCCCTGCCCCGGTCCCGTCCCCCCCCCCCGCCCTGGGTCCCGGCGGGGAGGGGCCCCTGCACATGTGGCCCTGGCTGAGGCTCAGCCATTCTTGTGTGCTTCCTGCCAGGACATCCGGCTGCTGAACGCGGGGAAGGCTCCTCAGAAGGCGGGCGAGGTGGAGCGCGACCTGGACAAGGCTGACGCCATGATCCGTTTGCTCTTCAACGACGTGCAGGCCCTCAAGGACGGGCGCCACCCCCAGGGCGAGCAGATGTATCGGAGGTTAGCCCCTTCCCCCTGCATGGCTCCTCTTGGCTCTGCCGCCTCGCTGCTGCCGCCGCCGGGTCTTTCCGGGCTGCGCTTGCAGAGGCCGAGAGCGCCCCCCATGCCTCATGGCCACTGCTGGTAATGCAGGCAAATGCCCTGTCCCTCGATCCATGCGGGCGTACAGAGGCCTTTATAGAAGCAGGGCACTGCCACACCCCTGCAGAGTGGGCTGGGCACAGCAATGTGTTCCGCTTCTTGGGGTGGCACCCCTTCATGAACCCCAGAGGCCTTGCGCTTGATCCGGTGCAGCGGCAGCAGCATCTGCTGGGCTGAGTCGACAGGATGACGCGCATGTCCCTTTGCGGCCCCCTGACAGCCTGGCGTGTCCCTCCTTGCCCCCGCCCCCACCCCAGGGTCTACCGCCTGCACGAGCGGCTGGTGGCCATCCGCACGGAATACAACCTCCGCCTGAAGTCCGGCTCGGCGCCCATCGCCCAGCTCACCGTGCCTGTCACCCAGCGGCCCCGGCAGGAGCTGGAGGACGTCACGCTGCGCTACCTGCAGGACTTGCTGGCCTGGGTGGAAGAGAACCAGCGGCGCATCAGTGCAGCCGAGTGGGGCATCGACCTGCCCACGGTGGAGTCGCAGCTGGGCAGCCACCGGGGCCTGCACCAATCCGTCGAGGAGTTCCGCGCCAAGATCGAGCGGGCCCGTGCCGACGAGGTGAGCGCCCCACGGCAAGCCCTAACCCGTTTCCCGGGATGAGGGCAGCCCCCTGCCTTTGGCCTGGCCGTTGCTGGCACCCGGGCCTCACGCCGGTCTTCTCTCCCCACAGGCCCAGCTCTCTCCGGGCCCTCGCGGGGCCTACCGGGATTGCCTGACCAAGCTGGACGTGCAGTATGCCAAGCTGCTGGTGAGGAGGGCGGAGGGGTCACAGGCATGGCCCTCGGCCGCCTAAGTCATTGCACATCACAACAGTTGTTTTCCATCAACACTTGTGAATTACCTGAAACGGTAGATAGTTGAATGTTTTAAAATAGGTTCCTAAAAATTATACTTATAGGAGACCTAGTAAGTAACAAGCAGCAATTTCATAATTTCAAACAAGTATTTTTAAATATGTTTAATGATGAGCCAAAATCTCATTATACCCTTTGTTTATCTTAAGATAATTGGAGGAATGATACTGTGTTGAGTGAACCATAAAGGGAAGTTAGTTAATAAATTGGAATTACAGTTACCTGAAGTAGATTCGGTGGTTAAAATATGATCAGCTATTTTGTCAATGGTGAAAAATTCCCAAATTTTTACATACCGTTCTGCAGTTGAATGAACAGAGGTCTTTTTCCAGTGAGAGACCAATTTTGCCACTGTAATCAGGATTGTCATTCGTTCTTGTCATATTTTAGGTATTGCCAGATTTTGCCACAGATTCAAAAGAATCAGTTCGGGGGTGTTAGGGGTCTTCTAATTAGTGATGAGCTATAGGTGGGCCCTGCGTGATGTGGTCCATGGGGTCGCGAAGAGTCCGACTCGACTGTGTGACTGAACAACAAATACATGATGTACAATCTGGTCTCAGAGTTTTCCCTTAGCCTCTAAATATCGGGCTACAGGATTTGGAAATAATATAGTCTGCAGTTGGGAGCGAAGATAGGATTTAGAGCGCAGTCGGTTGTGCCGTGGGGTCAGGGGAGAAAGCAGGCAGAGAGAGAGAGAGACCCGGTGGGAGAAGGCAAAAGGCCCCTGGGAAGGCTGCCCAGGTTGGGTTTCTCCTTGACCACGACCATCGGGAACTTGTTCTGCGCTCAGCTTTCCCCGGAGGAGGAGGGTGGTGGTGATGGGGACAGGGAGGCAGGCGGGGGGCTGGGGAGGCCAGGCCCTGACGGTGGCTCTGTCGTGTGGCAGAACTCCTCCAAGGCCCGGCTGCGGCACCTGGAGAGCCTCTACGCGTTTGTGGCAGCCGCCACCAAGGAGCTGATGTGGCTGAATGAGAAGGAAGAGGAGGAGGTCAGCTACGACTGGAGCGAGCGCAACAGCAACATGGCTGCCAAGAAGGAGAGCTACTCGGTAGGGCTCGGCAGGGTCGGGCAGGGAGGGGGCTGCGGAGGGGCCCGCGCTGTGGAGGCTCCTCTCCCCCTAACCACTGTTCCGACAGGGGCTGATGCGCGAGCTGGAGCAGCGGGAGCGGAAGATCAAGGAGATCCAGAACACAGGAGACCGGCTGCTGCGAGAAGACCACCCGGGCAAGCCGACGGTGGAGGTAGGGGCCAGGGAGAGGGGGGAGGCCCAGCCCTGCCCGGGCTGAGCCGGGGTGCCTGCGCGTGACTCCCACGCGGGGGGGGGGCTCAGTCACGAGGCCCTGTCGGCT